TTATTTCATTTTTAATAGTAATATTTATTTCAGGAAGTAGAAGTTAAATTGTTAAATAAATGCTTACACTTGTTTACCAGCTCCCTTTGTTTTTCTACTGCCTTATATTGAGGAGCAGGAACTGGTTTGTTTCTTGAAATAACACGTCGTGCACGATTTTCAATGTTAAATGTACGAATTGGTCGCGTAAGAAGAGAGTACACTTTTCCCATTTTACTGGTTTTCTAGTACAAGAGAAAACAAATCTTAATATACACTTTTATAATCATAACTAAAACTTCATCTTATCCTTCAGTTTAGAATTACTGCATCTCATGCCAACTATTTGGTTAAGTTCATAATTGATGCGAGATTCTATACTTTTATTCATATATTATTTCATTTAACTAAAATGAATTGTTGAAATATCTTATTTTATTTTAAGCTATATATATAACTATTGTTCGAAATATTTACTGCTTTGTGAACACGTGAATTATAGTTACCCTGATATAATGTTACAGGAAACTTTTTGTCGCTGAAATATAAATTGTACAATTATCTTTTAATTTAACTTACTGATTTATAGTCCCATTATTTTTTTCATGTGAATAAAATTAGAAACTTTGATAACAAATATTTAAAAATAAAAACGTGTTTTCAGAAAAGCGCATAAACTATTGAATTCTATTGGTGCAAATTCAAAAGTCCATTAATACGCCGACAAATTATCAACATATAAGTAATACATTAGTTTTCCATTACATTTGTTACTTACATTCATTTATTTATATACTAACCGTCAACAACAAAAATAAATATGATTGTATATATGATTTGTGTAATAGATATTTAATCCAAATACAGATTCAAAGAACAAAATTTTGTAGATTTACGAATACAACTGATCCGCCGTTATTGGAGGGAGTTTTAGAACGTTCAGTGAAATTAGTTGCAGATGCTTGCGAAGACGCGGTGAAAAGAAACGTACCGTATGTGTTAATGATTTGATAATATAACAGTTAAACCTGATATTTTTCGAGAAATATGAAAATGGTAGTTTAAGATTCATTAATAACACGTCATCATAATATTTCTTATGTGAGAATAAGTAAAACATATTACGTGTTCAACAGCTTACGCGTAACCGCCAAAATTACGGACAGAAACGCCATCTTGTGCAAAGATGTTGACATTTTACTAAATTGGGAAAGATTACATGATTGCTGTTTATTCGAGTCGTACGACTCGACTTAAGTCTATAAATGTTAAAAAATGCTAACTTTATGTACTAATTGACACGTCAACCAGTTTTTTCATTATAAGGTGATAATTATGTTGTTAATAGAAAGTCACGTAAACGAATTAGCTCTTGTGTTTAGCTTTGTGTTTACAAACATAACGCATCGTTTTAACAAATTTTACTAATATGATCCCATTTTCGTTGCAGAAGTGCACGTAACCTGGATTAAAAATGTTTTATGCACATTTTGTGTTGGCCAAAAAGGGGCCATTGGCGCGTATTTGGTTAGCCGCTCATTGGGACAAAAAATTGACAAAAGCTCACGTATTCGAAACGAATATTGAAAAGTCTGTAGATGGTATATTACAGCCAAAGGTACTTGTAAAATGTTCCTATTTTTATTCATTTATTTCTTATTAACATCTGTATATCTATAACCTCATAAATTTGTAACATTCTTGTTATAGTCAGATTTACAAGAATATTTATTTTTACATTCAATATTCTGTAATATTTTATACAGTAAAATGTCCAAGAAATACTTAAATTAATATTTTGCATATATATTATTTAACTTTAATACAACTTTCTCTACTTTCTTCTAATTTTTCTACAATACTTTCCATTAAACAAAAAAAAAGTGTAGTACGTATATATTCAAGAAAGGCTAAATACCTCTTGGCCGACTGTAATGAAGCTTTTGTTAAAATAAAAATGGCCTTCAGGCCTGGTATGGTAGATTTGCCAGAAGAGCACAGAGAAGCTGCTGTAACAGCTATAACACTCCCTGAAGTGTTTCATGATTTTGATACAGCAATGCCTGAATTAAAGTAAATATATAAATACTAAATATAAGCTGTAATGAAACTTCATAAATTTAATTACATAAAGCTAGATGCTATTGTGTATAACATTATATATAAATGTTTTATTTTAGGGATGTTGATATTGAAGCACAATTTAGTTTAAACCAGTCAAGGGCAGAAGAAATAACTATGAGAGAAGATTATGGTAGTTTAGCTTTAGTTACACATGATCAAGGATTTGGTGACATGAGTTTTGATGCAGAACCTCCAGAATTATTAAGACATGCTGGTGCTGTAGAACCGTCATTAGATCAGGTATGTTTTTACATTAAACATTATATATTTAGTTGTGCCTATAAGGAATAAATTTTATGTTAATTTTTTAGACTCACATGTTATTCACTGATGGACCAGGAATTGAAACAGCTTTAGAACAAAAAGAAAAAGAACCAGTTCCAGGTCCATCAGTAACAGCACAAGCTATGGATATAGATATGCCCATTAGGGATGATGGTTTTGGTGGTCATCTTGGGCAGGATATCATATGTGAGTAATCTAGGTTAACATAAATGAAGGTATACAAAAATGTTTTTTTTTTTATGGTAAAATATATCGTTTTATTTTTTTTTTATATTTTTAGCTGGAGGCTTGTTTGAGGGTGGTTTATTTGATGAAGCTCCAATGGGTGAAGTACCTGTACCTGAGGTTAGTGCAGTAACGGAACCACAAGAGCCAGGTGCAATACCTGGAGCACCACCTTCAGTACATGATGAATCAGAGGAAGAAATGGGAGACCGTTTTGGAGGGCCACCATCTCCCATGGGAGGAATGAGGTAATCAAGTTGTGTATATATTTATAATTTTCAAATTAAAAAGAATTGTAAATTATAGAAATTAGTAATTAATATTTAGTAAGTGAAACATTATTTTATTCATATATTAAATAAGGGTATTTATTTATGTTACTTAAACCAAATTTTATTTTGTCCGTGTAGTACCGATGAATCTAGGCCTGTTTCTCCAGCTGTAGCTGGTGAAGAAATTGAGGGAAGAATAAGTGTTGCAAGTCGTCGTTTTACTCCAGCTCCACCAACTATTCCTGAAGAACGTCCAATGGAAGCCATTGAAGAAGCTCCACCTCTACAAGAACAAACTACTTTATTGCACGATGAAGAAGAGAGTTTTGCTCTTGCACCCGTTGATACATCTGCATTAAAAGGTACATCATATTATAATATTATTTTAATTATAATATTAATTGTTATAATGTAATTGCAATAATGTTAATAGGATTCACAAAAGCTAAACGTAAACGTAAGCTTATTGTGGATGAAGTAAAAAATATTTCTGGTGAAGAAATGAAAGCACAGTTATCAGACACTAGTGATATTATTACGACATTGGACTTGGCACCACCCACCAAAAGATTAATGCACTGGAAAGAAACTGGTGGAGTTGAAAAATTGTTTGCTTTACCGGGAAGACCAATTCCAGCACGTGTTCTATTTAAGGTAAATTTAAGTTTATTATTATATATTTGATAATACGTATTTTCTCTTCTATAAAAATCAAATTTAGCTATAATTAATATTTTACGTTTTAATAAAATAGAATTATCAACGACATCTGACAAGTAAGTCCTATGACCATGAAGACTTTGGACGCTTAGTAGGTGAAGAGGAAGGCATGCCTTTGGAACAAATGAGAGAACCTGCAGAACCTGATACATATGAACAAACCATTCTCAGTAAACGCATGGCTAGAAAACGAAAAGCACCGGCAGATGAAGAGGTACTTTATACATTACATATCGATATATTCTTAAACAATTATTATTATTTACATTCTAACAAATACTATTATTGTATTCTATTATATTCTATTCGATTCCATTCTTCTATTCGAATACAATTATTTTTAGATAAGGCCACCACCTCCGGCGCCAGCACCTCCTCCGGTAGAAGCTGCTCCCGAAGCAGTGGAAGTTCCAAGTATAGTTCCACAACCAAGTCTTCCTCTTGCAGAATCACCAATACCTCAACCTGAGGTATCCTTACCAACCGAACCATCGGTATCTGAAATTAGTGGCATAGTACCTCCTGTTGAAGAAGCGGAAATGGTTCCCCTACCTTCGGAAGCACCTTTACTTCCTCCAGAAATACCTGAAATTCCTACTACTGAAACTGTTGCTATACCTGAAGAACCAATTGTACCACCTACCCCAATAGAACCAGAAGTTATTCCCGCAGTACCTACGGAGATGCCTCAAATGGAAAATATGGGTTATGATCAGGTTAATTATATTTCTTTGAACCAGTAAATGTACAAAAATAATTTATAAATATTAACCAATTTTAATGTATATGACAGGCGCAACCTCAAGTACCCTACATGGGATATGATGAACATCCTCCACCACCTCACACACCTGCTATATCAGAAAGAGGCCCGGCGACACCATGGAATCACGAAGACTATGAATTCCCTCCATCTGTAGGACCTGTACGTACATCAGACTAATTTACATACGTCAAAAGTAACATTTTAAAAAACACAAGTATATAATTTAATTGTTTTATTTTTATAGCAGGAGGAGCAACAAATAGATGAAACTTATGAACAGTTCGAAGAACGAGTTCTTAACAAAAGAGCATCACATATGTATCATGTCATTAAAAGTAAACTGGATACCAAAGATAGACTGACACTATCAGAAATGGCATATAAAAATAATCGCAAACAGGTTTGTATTTCAAAATTTAATTTAAAGAAAATTATATAATTTGTATTATGACTAATTAAATTTTTCAGGTTGCACAAAAATTCTACACGTTATTAGTTCTCAAAAAATTCCAAGTATTAGAACTGAATCAAGAATACCCATATGCTGAAATTGCAGTCAGCAAAGGACCAAAATTTGAAAACCCTGCGTTATAAAACTATTAGGTATTTCTTACTTTACATTTACTGTTAAAAATGATGGAGGAGGATTGTAGCTATTTTTAAGCGTACAGAAAATAAGCGATTTATCTAAATTCTTTTGAAGGATAAATTGTAAAATAATATATAAAGCTATTATGACTTGGAATATCTGCGCAAAGCAAAAGAATTTTGTAAATCATGTTTTAAACTCCTGATTCAGGAATGTATACGTTTTGTATAAACCAGAGCAGAATTATTTTGGACCTTCTGCACTTTTATTGTGATAAAAAAATTCAATTAAAAATACGTAAATTTACCATTAAAAATATA